GCAAAAATCTTTCACTAAAAAGAAAAGAAGGAAAGAAAAAAGAAAGAAAAAAGCCCAATGACCATTTTGGTGTAAGCACTGGTCAAACAGATTCTGTTATAAGATGGAGTAACATGAAGGTCCCTAGAAGGCAGGATCTATAGAGGAAGATGGAAGAAGAATGGACGATTGCAGGAGGAACAACTTTCATGAACTGCAGAACTTCCTTTCCTACATTCATGGGCTTGGTCAATGAATACATGGAAAACATCATGAAGACCTTCTACACACAGTCTACTGGGTTGATATGATCCAATTAATAAATGTTTATTTTAGTATACGAGTTTTTTCCTTCAATCTGGTAATGACTCCATGGTATTCTCTGTTAACTGCATTACTGAATATAGAAGACGAGGGCATAACTGAGAGGTCTGAACCTTTGAGTCTTTGAGTAAGCTTTGTCTCTAAGATGTAAGGAGATTTAGATGTATTCTATATGCTAATTGCTTTGTTGTCCTTCTCTAAGGAGGATTCCATGGACTCTCAACATACATGCCCACGTGTGAGCGTGCGTGCATACACGTACGCTCACACTCATCTCCCTAAAGCTCAGGCTACTTGTCAGGTTTGGGGCAACTGCTGAGAGCTGACTGTGGAGATCGACGATCGCCATCCTTTTTTCTACACCTTAAACTTGGGTTTCCAAATATCTGTTCAACAGGGATGGGAAGTGCTTTTTATGTCGTAGGTTTTCTCTTTACACTTTTAAGTTAACAAAATTGCGCTCATTTCTAACAAGTTAAATGCAGACTTTTTTTTTTTTGGATGGGGGAATGACAATACAATGTCTTCTCAAGCTATAACTTAGGTGATCTTTCAAGACAGCATCGAATTCTTCTGCTTGAGCTCTGCTGGCTAATAGGAGTTTAAGAGAGAACTGGGTGGGAGAGCATTGAAGCATTCATGCATGTCAAATCAGATGAACACCCACAGTGTGGAATTTCCCAAGGAAAGTTATTCTAGCGGAGAAGCGCACGCTCAGGTCGAGTGCCAGCAACTTTTAAACTAACGTGTGGCACGATCACCCTAGTGAGTAGTAAGCTAAGGTGCCTGCAGACAAGCAAGACTAATTTTTTCAAGTCTGTATTTTCAAATACATATAGAAACGTCAGCTCAAATAGAGTTACATGTAATTCCCTTCCTCTGTAGAAAGGAATTCAGTCTTTTTAAATGTTGATGCCATGTACTAATGCTTGCTTTTGAAAGGGATGTGCACAACTGGTTTAAGTAAATCTAAAATAAATAGCAAGCTAGAATAACTAATGTATCCATGAAAAGGAACTGAAATCAGGAACTCTGATTTATATTCAGTAATTTAATACTAGTCTTCCTGAAACATTTCCTTTTAAATGGTCTACTTAAAACCACATCAATTTTCCACTTGTCATGCCATTTTAGATTGCTATGTAACTTCAGCTTCAGTTTCTGCTCATTAAGGTTAAAAGAACACATTCTAACACTTACCCTGTGTCAAGCCAGCCCAATTACCATGTGAAATTTCCCAGATTGTAAAATATTAGTGGTTCAAATACATGAACCCGGCACATTCCAGAATAGATGTGCATAGGTATTTGTAGGTGCATATCACAAAATATGACAATAAACTTCCCCCTGGAGGCTTTCTACAATGTAGAAATACAGCTGAATATATTTTTTTTTAATATATATTTTTTAGAGGTTTTTGCTATAGGGTGCGTGCACTTGCCAGACAGACAGAGACAGAGAGACAGAAAGTGAGAAATCACCCCCCAGGGGGGATGGTCACGCCGCAATCCCTTCTCCTCCATTCTCCTCTCGGGATCTTGGGCACGCACGCACATGTGCCCGGCGTGAGTTTCAAGCCACCAGGTCCGGGATGCGAACCGCGGTCGACTACGTGGGAGTCCAGCGACATAGCCATTACGCCAACTGCTGGTCCCAAAATACAGCTGAATCTTCACGCTCCCATCATTTCACGATGATTTTTCCCATCAAGTAAAGAATTTGGAAAGATGCTGAGGTCGCCCACAGCTATGGAGTCAGTTTCCCCATTTGCGAACTGGGGTTAGTGCTAATACCGGCCTCACACTTGTTGAGCAGAGCAGCAGAGGAAGGGCGCCTGATAACAGGAAGTGCTCAGCCAAGGCCGACTATTGCTCTACCATGATCACCATTTGTGGTGTTGTTCCTCAGCGACTTTTAAACATTAGACAATTAAAAAAA